GTTTGCCTGTAAGGTTGTAACCTGAGGTAGACCCAATCTCCCACCTGAAACTTCCTTTCACTCCTATGTTCATCTGCATACCTCTTCATTCTTTCCTGTGCTAGCTTCAGGTTTTGCTATAGCATTGCATCTATTTTCTTCTTGTCCTTCACATATTCCTCCACTATTGCCATTCTAGCCTACATGTAAGGACCTAAACCCAGTTGGAGGGGGCTTGGTTCCATATAGAGTTTCAAAAGGGATCATATGTATAGCAGTGTGGTAGGATGTATTATACCACCATTCTACTAAAGATAGCCATGCATTCCACCTTTTTTGTTCTAGATGTGTCATACACCTGAGGTACATTTCCAAGACTTGGTTGACCCTTTTCTATTTGACCATCAATTTGGGGGTGACTGGCTCCAAGTGGTAAAAAGCTCAGTCCAAAATTGGTTGATGAAGATCCTATCCCTGTCTGAGATCATGCTCTGAGGTACTCCATGCAACTTGCAGATGTGATCCATGAAAATCCTGGCTATTTTAGGAGCACCAAATGGATGTGACAAGCTCATGAAATGAGCATACTTAGTGTACCTGTCCACTACTACTAGGATAGAATCCTTCCCCTCAAATTTGGGTAGTCCTTCAATAACGTCCATAGTAATATGACTCCAAGACTGCTGTGGTATGGGTAAAGGTTGTAAGAGGCCTGGATAAGCAACATGTTCATCTTTACACTTCCTACTAATGTCACACTGTAGTACTTCTGTTCTAATCTCCTTATACATTCCTGGCCTGTGGAAAAGTTGTTTAGCCCTCATGAAACTGGCTTGTACACTTGAGTGTCGCCCTAGCTGTGTTTCATGGAGAGCAAAGATGAGTTTCTTCCTTATATCTCCCCCTTTTCCAACAATTATCCTCCCTTTGTATCTTAGTACCCCACTCTGATAGCTGTAGTCAGTGTTACTACCTGGAGTTACCAATGCTTCTCTGATAAGATTTTGAACCTAGTCATCTCCTTGATGACTTTTTATCGCCTCCCTAATCCATTTTGGTATTACAATGGTTATAGTTGTACACTCACTTTCTTCCCTCTTTTCTCTCCTGGAGAGAGCATCTCGCACTACATTCTCTTTCCCCTTTCTGTAGCATATCTCATAGCTCAATTCCATCAGTTTAGTCAACCATTTTTGTTGTAGTGGAGTGGTGATTCTTTGTTTCGATAGGTACTTCAGGCTTTGGTGATCAGTATTGATGATGAAGTGATGACCCTTTAGGTAATGCCTCCATTTGGTAACAGCTGTGACTAGGCCCAATAGCCTTTTCTCATATATTGATAGTCCCGGGTTCTTATGCCCCAAGCTTTGACTCAAGTATGCTAGTGGTCTCCTATTCTGCATCAGTACAGCCCTTATACCCTCATAGCAAGCATCTGTCTCCACAACAAATGGCTGAGAAAAATCGGGCAGTGCCAATACAGGTATACTGCACATAGCCAACTTTAGTTTCTGGAAAGCTTCGTCTATCTCATCACCTCAGTTGAATTCATCCTTTTTGAGTAGAAGGGTCAACGGCTTTGTAATGGCTCCATATCCCTTAACAAATCTCCTATAGTAGCCTGTTAGACCCAGAAATCCCTTCAGCTACTTAACATTTCCTGGTCTTGGCCACTGCATCATACTGTCAATCTTCTTGGAATCAACCGTTACTCCTTCTACTGTGATAATGTGGCCTAAGTATTCCACCTACTCCTGTGCAAAAGAGCACTTACTCCTTTTTGCATATAGCTGATATTGCCTTAGGATCCCCAGAACCTCAATGACATGCTTTATTTTGCTCCTCCCATATGGAACTATATACTAGCATATCATTAAAAAATACTAGTACATGTTTCCTCAGTTGCTCCTGAAACACATGGTTCATCAAACTCTGGAAGGTTGCAGGGGTATTAGTTAGGCCAAAGGGCATGACCTTAAACTCATAGAGGCCCTGATGAGTTTTGAAATCTGTTTTAGGAATATCCTCTTCCCTCACCCTTATTTGGAAATATCCAACTCTAAGATCAATCTTGGTGAAGTACTTGGATCCATGCAATTTATCCAACAGTTCATCAATGGGGGGCATAAGGAATTTGTTCTTTATTGTCAGTTCGTTTAGTTGCCTATAATCTACACAGAATCTCCATGATCTATCCTTCTTCTTGACTAGGAGCACTGGAGAGGCAAAAGGGCTACTACTCAGTTGAATGATCCCATGTTGTAACATCTCCTGAACTAACTTCTCAATCTCAGCCTTCTGAACATAGGTGCATTTGTATGGCCTGGATTGGAATGGTTTCGGCACCCTCCTTGCAGATGATGGCATGATCATGACTCCTTACAAGGGGTAATCCTTGAGGCTCCTTGAACACATCCTCATATTTCTGCAGCATTCCTTCAATTTCTGGAGGTATTGCCTTTTGTTCTTGCACGTCCCCATCTACTTCACTCAATTGTGCTAGGATTCCATAGGCCTGTTTTCTGGCCCATTTGTGCAACCTACTTCCCTTTATCAGTCTCAATTGTACCTAGTTACTTTCCCCCTTCAATTCTACCTATTGATTTCCCTTCTTAAATTTCATACTTAACCCCGTAAAGTCAAACTCCATGGGATTGTATCTGGCAAGCCAATCCTCCCCCAACACCATATCACAACCTCCTAGCTTCAGTGTGTTAAACTGGTGTTGGAACTCATACCCCTGCATTTTCCATATCACAAGCTTGGTTAAACTCCTGGACTGCGTTTTCTCTCCATTAGCTACCCTAACTACTAATGAGGGTGCATTGCTATACAACCCCAAACTTCTTGCTAACAGTTCATCCAAGAAACAGTGTGTACTACCACTGTCAATCAAAGCAATGACACTCCTTCCCATTACTATCCCTTTTAATCTAATAGTTTTGTGCTCACTGCCCCCTACTAGAGCATGGATTGAAATCTCCATATGTTCATCTTCTAGCTTCCCCTCTATACAATCACAGAAGATATCAGATTCATCCTTCTTTTCCTCCCTTTTTACAGCATCTAACCCCTCCTCTTCTCCCATCAACAAGAGGTTTAGATGGGCTTGCTTGCACACATGTCCCAGAGTATAAGGCTCAGCACATTTGAAACAAAGTCTCTTCTCCCTCCTGTGGTTAAGTTTAGCTTGGGTGATTTTCTTGAATTGGTTCTAGCTATGGGTGGGGGTATTGAAGGCTCTAGTGGCCTGTCTGTCTAAAGTCTTAGTATTAGCTGAGTTCCATTTTGAGTGAATCTGAGATTTAGGTGTGTGTTTTTGGAGATAGGGGCTATGAGTGGGTGATTTTTGGATCTTTTGCAAGGCTCTCAGGTTTCTCTCCTGTAGTTTAGCAGCATCTATTGCATCTGCTAGAGTTTGTGGTTTAGCCATTTTCACCATATTGACTATCTCTTCTTTTAAACCACTAAGAAAACATGCTTTGTAGTAGGAATCTTGTAAATGAGGGAGTGAAGGCATTATCAGAGGTTTGAGCATTTCGAACTTCTCCAGGTAGTATGCTACAGAACCTGTCTGCATTAGTTTATTAAATTCTTCAATAGCTTCTTTTGGAGTGCCATCAACAAACCTCTCACACAAAGCATTGGACAGCTCATTCCAGGGGAGTGCCTCTCTGCCTCCAAATACTCCATGGAACTGTGTGTTTGTCCTATCTCTGAAGTAAAGTTATGCAATCTCTGATTTCATATTCTCCTCAACTCCATTGATTTTGAAATACTTGTTAGCCTTCCTGACACTCCCTTGGGTTCTCTCTAGTGAAGTTGGGTAACTCCATTTTTGGCAGCCTGGTGTTTGCTTTATTGTCCTTAGGTTTAGATCTGCCCTGAGCTTCTCTTTGTACCTCCCAATTCTTGTCTCTCTCTTTGTGTCATGATCCAGAAGTACTGCCCTCAGCATCCTTACCCTTATCATTCAATTTCGCCATCATTTGTGCCATCATGTTCATCATTCCTTCATATTTCTAGTCCAGGTTTTCAAGAGCCTTTTCAGTGCTCTCTTGCTTGTGCTCCATTTTTTTTGATAGCTTGTTCCAGACCATCATTTTTATTAGCAAACATCCTTACTGCCTAGCCCAGTTAAGTCTCTCCTGTGTCTTAGTCATTCCCAATGGCTCATAACTAGCTCTGATACCACTGTTGTGGTTCTGAACCAAAGTTGCAGCAACAAGAAGAATTATTGGGACAATGCACTCTAATCTTCTACAGCAGACAATATAACAGTGCAATGGATGAATTCAAAAGATGAGCCTCAGCTCTTCATTAATGACTTCAATAACAGAATTACAAGAATAGAGTTTATGGATTTAGGAAAGAAAGGGAAAGAGGTGAAGGAAAAACGTGGAAAAGGGGCAATGAGGTTGGCAATGGCAAATCTCTCTGCAAACTAAATCTGGAATAATGACAATAGCAGAATCATTACAAAAAATTCTTCATGCTTATATCATTCCCAAACTAAATAACTCTAACGTAACCAATAAGTTTAAAACACGTGTCATTCTAGGATCTTCAGTTGTAGTGGTCCTCAACTCAAGCTATATGCGTGAAGAACCCAGAAAAGGTGTGATTCTGTGAGCATGCCTTCTCGCAGCTTGTTTCATTCGTTCCACACTTTCAGCGTGCTGTGACCACGCCTTCTCCAACTTTTACCTTATTTCTTCATTGCCAGCTGCTACTCAATTCTTCACTTCATTACAAGATTGTGCCCAATAATGCTTGAGGAATTGTATGTTGATCCTGAACATGCCTAGTAGCTAGTTCGAGACTAATAGAAAAGCTCCATATGGATATATAAGAACATGACTTGCTAATTCACAGTTAAATCCACTTGGAATATTAAATATAATCAAGTGAGACACTCGTACCACATGAAACTTTTCTATTGACAAGTTACTTCGAACTGAGATAAAATTTTCCAATAATAATTTAGCCTTTAAGAACGAGCTAACAGAGTAATTTATGGCTGACATCATTTCTTCATTTCCATTAAAATAATAACAGTAATAATATCCAGTCCATCATCAGCAGTTCAAGTTTGGTGAACTCTGGAACGCGTGTATTCCACAACCTCATGCGCCATTTACTATTATTCTTAGTTAAGACACTGACGTCTCAACACTGAACAAAAGGAAGACTCACCAGTCTACAGTGGTTACAGTATAGTAATTTCATATTTCTAGTAGTCAAGGATATCGCGAGAAGGGGTATATCAGTAGTAGTAGACCATACATACAGCACTATGAGCACTATTTGTCAATTTTCCAGTAATATATCACCTTTTACATACAAAAAGAGAATGATTTTAGTGGGGAATGTGACCCTTGTCAAATTCACGAAGTCCACAAGCAGTGGATGGCATGCAACTCACTGAAATCAGAAGATTTTAAAGACATTTTGTAGAGCTCCCTCAACTTTGCAACTTCTCCAGACTTGTGCCCCGGGTTTTGCAGAGAGTTGACAGCAGACTTCTGTGAATTCATTGGAAGTGTTGCTGACAATACCTTCTTCAACACCATCTGCAGCTGACTCCAGAACTTAGCACAAATTTCAGGATTCTCCTTGCCGAAAGACTCATTTATAGATAAATGGCGGGCTTCAAGTAGGCGAGTAAGAGCAGATTCCAGGAACTGTTGAACAGGCAAAGACGCCATCAAAATATGCAATGGAAGAGAAAATAACTCCTCGGGACATATTAATCACTTTTAAAAAAATCAAGCTGACATAACTCTTTAAGACTATCATTAGCAGTGCTCTTCGAGTCAAAATTATGAGTCTGAGAGAAGAGGTAGCCAGGAGATAAAGTAGCAGAACAGATAAGCAAACAATGCAAACACTGTCCGCAAAGCATGGTGGCTCCTAGTAAAATCAAGAGCCAGTTAACACTCAAAAAAGTTGGATGTCAAACATTACTTCAGGTTAACAATAAGCAACCCATCATAACTTGTTTATGCATCTCAGTGAAACCTCTTACAAAGGCAGAGCCTGTAGGGATGGCGCATATGAAGTAACTGCATGCATATACATATTCGTCATGCATATGAGAATCAAATAAGATGGTCATATTCAGCACTCTTCACCATTAATACAGTCACACTTTGATACAATGCTACTACATCCATAGCACACAACAAAAATATGTTCAGAAATAAGGCAAATCTTTTAATCATAAAAAAAAAATAAATAACACAAACAGGAAACAATGCTAGAAACATATCTATTATTTCATTGCAGGTTTGTTTGATCAGAATAACATGTCAAAAGTTGAATTCTTCTTCTTCATTTGGCAGGTCTGAGTCTGATTACATTAAAGCCAGGATCCAGCCAAGAACTTTGTGCGCCAAAAAATCTCCAAGCGAGTTGGACTTTACTGCCTCAAACAGTATTCTCCTCAATAATGTTAATCTACAAAATATTTATTGTAAACACCAAATAGGTTCGGTTCCGTTCAAAAGCATACTCAATTGGGCAATTTAAATTCAAAAAATCAGACAAGGATCATTTTGCTTTAGAGTACAACTTTAAGAAATCTATTTATAAGGCATTAACATCAATTAAGACATGCATTCCCGGTGAAAAGGTTATAGATTGCAAGTACATCATACTGCATTTACCCTAGTATAGAATCCCCTAGCACTATTAAAAATTATAATAACATAACAGGACAAGTTGTAAAGATCTGAAAGCATACCATATTTGAATGCAGAGAACACGAGAGGCTCAAAGAGAGAGCTGATCTCTCCATTATAATATTCAGGTACATCCAGGGATGAGTTTCTGGCCCATAAAAATCCATAGACTTCTGCCAGTTCCTATCTGCCAATGAAGCATACTGCTTTACCCTTTGGTTTTCACCTCTAGACATGTTATTTTTCTTCATATCTGACTCCAAAAAATTTAAGCACCGATCTCTTTGGTAACAAGCGAGCTGGAAATATGAATATGCAGCCTCTTGTTTCCTTAACTCACCCAGTGACTCATAGACAGACAAAGCCCGCCTGATGGCATCATTAGCTGATATCTCATGCTTTCTATACTCCTTTTCGGGTCTAGTAACAGCTGGACCAGCATTATCCTCAAGGACTCCATTTTCATAAACCTCTGCAACTGTGTCTTCTCTTGCTAAAAGCATGCCAAGCTTCAAGTACGTATGAGCAAATTGTGCATACACTTCATCCTTCAAGCTGCTTGATGCACAATCTGCATCTTCAGCGCTAGCATTTACTTCCAGTTTTGCAGCTCCATAATACATGAGAGCTTTACTGTATTCGAGTTTAGCTGTTTCAAGTGCTTGCTTGTATGCATTATGGAAGACAGCAAATTTCTTGAAAGTTTCAATCTTTGATACCATCTCTTCAGCCAATGCCCGTCTGCCATGGCCAAGATTGCAGTTAATCAGGATGATGTTGGTATGATCAGATACTTCTTTGAATGAACTTATTGCATCGGCAAAAGCAATTTCAGCTCCATCCAGATCTCTTTTTTCCAGCCTACTTCTACCTAATTCATTGCTCACCCATCCTTTCTTTTTAGTTACAGATCGAAGTTCTCCTACAGTACGCGGATTTCTACCAAGTGCTTTTCTAGCTTCTTCATAACACTCTAAAGCAATAGACAAATTGTAATCACCATCACTAATTACCGGATTCCTGACATACTTGAATATACCTCCATCCCTAACTTGGGATGTTTCTCCAACAGCTTCAGAATGACTATCTACTCTGGATCCAGTTTCCATCTCCACGGTAGTACCAGCTCTTTCAACATCGCACTTGACAGTCTTTTTATCACCGCCAGCATCTGCATTCACACCAGAAGTGTTTGTTAACATCTCATATTTGTTGGCTTTTGAGTATCCACTTTTTTCTGCTCGCTGATGAGCTCGAGCATCCTCATTCGACTTGGCATTTGAATACAAGGTACCCTTGGTGATTGATTTCTTACTCATCTTCCTGCCATAAGCTGATGGATGTAAACTTGCAGAACTACTACTGGCACTACTACCACTAGTAGCCCTGTCACTCTGGCAGCTGCAGTTCACTAACGAACAGGAACTGCAGTTTTGGCTACATTGTCCCAGCTTCTTTTTAAGCCTTTCAACCTCCTTCAAAACTTCAGGTGACATTTTTAGTTCCTTCGTCAATGATTTTTTCTCTGATTTGACAGAGATCTCTTTGTCCTTTATCAAGTGAAACTCAACATACACATCGCCTACTAATGTCCAGGCCTTGGCCCAAAATAGGTAACAGGAAGGTGACTGCTCAAAAGCAAAACCATCATGACCAGTTATGGATTCATTGTTTTCTGTTCTATCAATAATTTCCAACTGGTTTGGTGAGGTACAAACCATGGATGATACAAACCTTGTCTCTTTAAGATGTTGTGGCATTGACCCGTAAACCAAACATGCCAACTCTACGACCTTTAAAGCTTGAAAGAGCTGGCCATCATCCTTGTAAGCTTGTCCCAAAGATAAGTAGGATTCTCCAAGCAATAGAACAAGTTTCCATGCCTTACCATCCAATTTTGACGTCAGAAGCCACTCACAAATGTCACAGACCTCAATACAATCAGGGTCCCCACATGCACATACTGAAAAATCATTTGGTGAATGAAGACCACCCTGAAGTTTGCTAATATAGTCCATGTTTACTTCAGTATGCTGTAGTTGGCGTTTCCATCTGATAGACTTGATAGCTTGAGAAACATGATGTACAGCAGCCAGCTTTGAGGAGATTGGATCTGTAACTGCTTGCACCACAGGACCAGTAGAATCCAATGAATCACAAATCGAAAAGCTTTGACCACTGGAACTTGGGATATCAAGTGGATATACCAAGGGTGGGTCACCAGATACAGTAACAGAAGATATGTTACCATTCTCTGTCTTTGCAACAGAATTTTCAAGATCCAAAATTTGCACTTCTTCTGGATCAACCTTTTCAAATTCAGATTCGGAAACTGTAGGATAGGCCTCACAGGAATCTTCCTCAGCATCAGCAACTGTAACTTCATAGTCTGTAGGTACTGCTTCAGATGTCAAGTCCAGTTCCTCATCATAAACTAAAAGCAGCCTTGCAAATTGTTCATGAGCAAATGCACGGACAACCTATTCAACATACTTTCATATTAATGCAGACTGTAGTTTCCCAATTTAAAACAAATTTCTCCATAGAAGAAAACAGGGAAGTAAGAGGTGAACTCTACCAGATGAAAGCCATACCAGATGATCAGGCTCATCAAGGAGATCAAGACATTGTCTGAAAAACCTCACACACCTTGTCCTCTTATCAGAAGACTGCACCAAAATACTCAATTTTAGCAGTAGCTAAAAAAACAGTCATAAATTTATAAATAAATAACATATACCATTGAGAGTGAGAGCCTGTGAGCAATTCGATAAAGCAGGGTGCCTAAAGAGAGTAACGAATCACTTCTCCCTCTATGAATCAAAGATGGCAGACCACTTTCAGCATCATCACAATCTTCAGGAGAGTGGTTTTTAGGCATAATAGATAAATCAAAAAGCTGAATGACATCTTCTCCAGCACTTTTGTATAGCTGAAGACGTTCAAATCAAAGAATGAGAAAAAACTTGAGATAAAACCTGGAGTAAAATAATTCATAGAAACAAATAGGAACCATACCCAATAAGCACCAGGATCTTGCTTGCAGTTGTCCTGAAGAAACCTTAATACCATTAAACCATTTTGCTGGACAACATAGGGATGAAAAGCAGGAGTGCCATCTTCTGATATGCCTTTCAGTAGAAATATATCTTCCGTTTTCAAAAGCTCATAGCCCTGGACAACACCATCTTGATGATAACATATGGCCAATTCAGGCACACTGGCCATAACATTGTCTAGCCAGGCTTCCAGCCAAGTTAGGGGAGTAACCTACCACAATTAATAGTAGAAAATGAGATGTGATTGATGTCAGCCCAGGAAGAATTGAATTAGCTGTATTACAAACCTGTCGAGAAACATCCCAAAGATGCAAGCTAACTGCAACATACTTCTCATTGCTAAATATGAGCAAGTCACTGCCCAGAAGCATGCGAAAGTTGTGAAACTGCCAAAACAAAACCCTCAAGAAACTATCATCCTTAACTCTTCTATGTTTTTCCGACTCTTTAACCGTGCAATTAGGCTTCTCTTTAACTTGTGAAATTTTTTTAATTGCAGTTTGGCCTTTATTTCTCTTACTCTTATTTTTTCCCCAAAAGACCTCATCCTCTTTGACCTTCGCGTATTCTTGATAACGCTTAAAGTCTTCATCCTCAGACATGTCATGGCTATGTCCAGATGAATTATTTTGTTGCATATAATTTCTCAACGTTTCAACTGGCTCCTCCCCAGACTCAAATCTTCCAGGAAGAACACATGAATCTGATTTATCTTTTGTTGCCGTATGATGACTTGGTGGACAATCGCAGGCCTCCATTCTAACTGAGTGCATGGCAAAGTTCAGAAACAAGGACTCATCTGCAGATTTTGATTGGTTCTTCTGTCTTCTAACTATCTTCTCTCCCTCTTCAACATCCGGCCTGTATTTCATAGTGCTTGAAATTGATTAAAGGACTCATAAGACAGTCCAAATAATATGGAACAGAAAAGGAAAATCCAGGTTACCCAGTGTTCAAAACTAGAGTCTGTCCAACACGTTGTACAGCAATAGATAATCGAGCTTTGGAGTATGGCATCTTAAAAATCTGCTTCAAAACGTCAGCTGGGGCAATAACGTCTATCTCGTCTCCATATTCTGCCAAGCCAGACACAGCAAGCACCTCTCCTTTTCGTGTAACATTTGGAGTAATAATCCCATTTTCCCATGATAAATCTGCAAAACAAAAGAAAACCTTCTTACTTTGAAAAATGCTCAATATGGTAGACAGCAAAATGGTAACCAGAAAAATTTTTTTAAAAAAAATTGTGCATTTTCCTAAAGAATGCACCTTAACAAGACAATCATGCAACATTGTTGGCCAAAATGGTGAAGAATATGTTAGCGTTACTGCAAGGACCATTTGGCCCACAACTTTCATCTCATAACCCAAGGTGCTATATATACACCGTACACTGTGTAGGCCAAACCAGTGCACCAATATCATGACCGTTATTCAAATATACCATCTAATGGTAAGTTACACACTTAACTGCATTTAAACAAATTAAACATGTAATGCATGCCCCAAGTAATCTTGATTATCTAAAGTGAGGATCCTCACATGACAACTCAATCAAAAACAAGTTAAACAACTTTTTGGACTTTCCAAATCAAAAGACATTCTCCACAACAGTCTGACGTAATTTGTACAAACAGGATTTACTTAATCTGTATTTGTCCAATGAAACAGGATAGGTACCTTACTTATTACAACTGAATCCTAGTGGAACCAGGCACCATTGCTATGCACTCTTTATGCTACTTCTTGATGCCATTGTTTTGCTTACTTTCTTGCTATAAAAGTCAAATTTCAAACTTCACATTTGAAAGGTCCACAAAAGCAACAACAATAACCACGGAAGCAAAGCACTGGAAAGTAGAAGACAATTTATACAACTAAAAAGTTTGTCAGAAAAGCATTTTAGCATAAAATGGGTCTAATAAAAGTTACCATGCCATTTTCCAACAATGGAAGCACATATTATATGGAGAATGACCCAAGGAGTCATTACCCTAAAGTATAATGTTACATTCCGCTACAATTGCTTAAATTCATAATTTCACCTGTTACTATCACACCTTTCAAAAAGAATTGCATATGACCATGTATACAGAAATTGCATTATATATACATACTACATATTCCATCTCCAATGTAACAGATTAAACTTTTAGATCACATAGAAGTTAATGATGAGGATTATTTAAGAGAAAAGACAACAAGAAATCCCTTGTGTTCACTTGGATCCATAAACCACAAAACAAATGAAAAGTTTTATTTGTCAATCCCAGCTATCAAGTCACTTACAGAAGTTAGATTCATGAAATGGAAGTTGGATATATCGCCAGAATCAGTATTATCAAATCAACTAACATCTCCCACAACAATATACATAGTGAATCACACAACTTCAGGGTACATCAATTGAACAGACATGTCACATCGAGGACACATGCTATTCAATTGCTTTGATACAAGTTATTGCTAAGACCATGAAATGAAAGCAACATCAAGAAAAATTTTCAATCAATTACACTAGTCTGGGCAATCAACACAAGGTACCATTTAACAACATATGACAGTTTGAACTAGGCTACTTGAATATGTTACAAATATGAAAACTATTAGAACTGTTTCAACTTTTACACGGTATCAGTCTGCAGCTTGAGTTCTCTAGATGATTTAGTTGTTTATGCAGCTATATTACTCTTAAACCAGGAGTTCTGATGACATATTCAAGCATCCTAGTAAAAAAATGCTCAGACATTCCACCCCCTACACCAAAGAAAGAAGAAAGAAATGAATTGACAATCTTTTTTTTATTTTAATGCGCAGACAGCATATTGCTAGAAGCTGAGTCCTGCAGCTTGAATTAACCAATTCAAATCCTTCCCAAGGAAACTTGATCGGCTGGTGAACTGCACATGACAGAACTGTCACACTCGAAGAACATAGAATTTGTAGCCAAGCACCAACAACTATCATGATTAGCTATAATGGCTGTCAGTTGGATACTTGGATCTCTTGACTTCAGCAAGAAACAGCTTCAGTCATGAAACAGTGGAAAGTAAACTGAGCACAATATTATCCATGTTTCATAGTAATTAATTGATTCCCCAACCAGCCTCCCCTATCTATCGCTTATAGTCAAAAACATCATATGCATGCAACTGAGCATGAATACCACCTATCCAACCATTGAAAAAGAATAGTGCACTTCAACCAATGAAGGTTCCTAGGAGTTCAAACTGCATAACCTAGCGTATGTTAACCAACACAGAAGAAGAAAATTAATTAAAATACATAAGATTCAGGAGTATTTTCCAATCATTATAGTAAAAAATTTTTCCTAAATTCAAGATGGCATCTTAACAAGTGAGCTAAAATCTTTTCTGGATTACTGGGAAGTGTGATATGCTTATAATATGGTCTACAAGAACACCTAGGTAATCTATTTCCACACCTTACAGGTGCATTACATGCTCCACAGCCAAAGCAACTAGATTACAATTTCAACATATAAAGCATTATTTACCATAAAAAGCATATTGTGCCAAGAAAGATGTCAATTCCTGTGACAGCACAACTAATAATCAGTTTCAATTGGCATCATACCAATGACGTGAAAGTTTCTATATGTAGCCTAAGCACATCCAGACACTCTAAACTATGTTAATCGGACTGTTCATTTAGCCTGCCACACCCATGTCCAACCCATCATTTTTACACTAGATTAGCCGTGTTGGAGGGATCCTGTAGCTGAGTCCAAGTAACATAGACTCTAAAAAGTTGTCTGTTTGTTTATATGGGTTTACCTTCCATCTGCATTCCTTTACCACTTCTTTCAATGACGTTAAAAGGTTTCCAAATGTTACAGTCAAAATCAAATTGCCAACAGAACAGTAGGACAAAAGATCATTGGCAGTTATGTTATTGTCCTTTTCTCCTCTTCTTTGTCCCTTTAAGCTTTTCTCATTTCTAAGCATCAAGCCACAAAAAAAGAAATTCTGGTCCCATAAGATATGTACATTGTATAATATTACAGTTGGACCATTATATTTTTGCTTTCCAATTTACAGTGGATGGACATGAGAAACAAATTTTTTGGGTTCTTTGTGAAAATACTGCTAGCATGTGTTTCCACATTATGAAAGACTTCAATTTGAACAATCACAGAACATCATAAAATGTGTCAATTGTATAATATTACAGTTGGACCATTATATTTTTGCTTTCCAATTTACAGTGGATCGACATGAGAAACAAATTTTTTGGGTTGTTTGTGAAAATACTGCTAGCATGTGTTTCCACATTATGAAAGACTTCAATTTGAACAATCACAGAACATCATAAAATGTGTCAATTGTATAATATTACAGTTGGACCATTATATTTTTGCTTTCCAATTTACAGTGGATCGACATGAGAAACAAATTTTTTGGGTTGTTTGTGAAAATAATGCTAGCATGTGTTTCCACATTATGAAAGGCTTCAATTTGAACAATCACAGAACATCATAAAATGTGTCAAATTGTCATAAAGGGTTTCTGAATATAAACTAACCACGATTTCATAGTACTCGAATACCTTCAAGTCATTTAGCATCAAGAATATTCTTCCCAAATTTGTGTACATATGATTGTTAGTCTATAACAAAGGCTCTGCCAATAACCTCACATGACCAATAAGTTTGCAACATTTTCATGCTACCATACATCATATGTATTGCTTATTGAGATCTAAGCTTAGGTTTTTCCCAACATCTGACTTGCTTTAAGCATAGGTGGTTGCCAGTTTAAGTTTGAATTCAAGGATGATCCAACAACATTATAACAAAATCCAACTTGATCAAGGCATCAAGCTACACCCCTTTCAAGACTGGTAAACAAATAATGCTGAAAGACAAGATATAGAATGCCATTCTAAGCATAGCAAATAGGAACTGTGACAGGCCAAAAATTGATGAGAAGAATATTTTTGACAAAGGGAAGTGCTTCTTCTTCTTCTTAATCTAACCCCTTTTTCTTCTGTTTTGGGCAGAACATCATTCATTTGTCGTCCTACATAACCAAAATAGCAGATGAGAGACATTTTCACAAGCTAACAGTTCTATCACCTCCACTTGTCTTTGATTGTGCAGCAGCAACCGGAAGCACCTTTTCCGGGGGTGTTTGTGGAATAGGTAACATATTAAGATCAGTCTCTGTAGGAATCATCCGATATCTCGGAGCTTGCACCCTGAATCAAAATGAGAATGTCACAATAAACTATCTTAACTCAAAAATCGCATGCACAAAAATAGAAACACAACCAATTTTTCAAAGCTAATATTGACAATCCCTATTTGTAAATGCCAGACCCCCTCTATTTTCCTAGTCATGAGCAAAGACAAAAGTATCCCTATCTTTCATTCCAATCAATCATTTGAATACACTGTCAAGAACATGGAGAGGTCGTAAATGCAATGAAAGATAAGGTTACATTTATCTTTCGACATGATCAAACATGTTGAAGAAAGTGTCGTTCTCATTAACCTCATTAACATTAACAAATAAAGGCGTGCCGACAATAATTCTATATTTTATAACCTAGAAAAGAAAAAAAAAATCCTGGACCAAACATGCCATAATTAGAGAAAAATGCAATTCAAAGCAACCGAAGCAACATCAAAATCCAAAAGGTAAAATGGCATCGAAAACTGGGAAAAAAATTTAAAAACTGAAACTCAGCAGAATCACTTGCGTACATACTCAACCTCGCACATTATAAAGGTTAAACAGGTTCTAACGAAAAAAAAAAGAAAAAAAAAGAGAGAAATGAATATAAAAAGATAACAAACTGAAAAAGAGAATTGGGACTTTAGTCTGAGGAAGTACGTTTGTGCAGAGGGAATAAGGGCGGCGGAATCAAAGTCATGAAAAGCTTTGTCCGTGGGGACGGGGATGGAACCGCAGAGGAAACCGACGGGTTTTGGCCTCACGATTTCTAGTCTCCCCACGCACAGCAGCTCCATTGATTGTGGTGGAGCTTTTGGTTTCTCCATTGCAATTCTCCTTTTTTCGGCGTTTCTCAACAAAACCCTAGGGCCTTGAGCTTTTCATCATCTTACACTTTGACTGAGGGTGCCGGCGACGACGGTGGCGGTGATGCTTGTAATGGGGGAGAGTTTTTGCAGAGGAAGAGCTTGAGGTCGTCTTATTCTAAATGATTTTTCTGTTTTTACTTCCTTATTTTAATTTGGGAAAAATACACTTTTCCTCCCCAATGTTTGGGATTTTGGACAATTTCGTCTCTAATGTTTTAATTAAAACACATTTCATCCTCATAATTTTATAATTTCGATCAATTCATTCCTAAAGTTTCATTCAAACACATTTCATCCTCATAATTTCATAAATTTAGCCAATTGTGTGACGTGACCACTTCTCCCTAAAGCGAATCAAAGGGTATCCGCGAAACGCCTGTCCAACTCTCGCCAGGACTCAAGACAATTCCCGTTCAAGTTTAATACAATAATAACCAATAAGACAAGACAAAGTAAAGAAGTGCAGAAGCTTCTATAAATAATATCCGATCTCACACCACAAGTTCAAAATACATCAATTTCCAAAATATACAACTATCAAAAGGTCTAGTCGATTACATTTGAAACCCTAATACAAAAGTACATCCCAAGAGTTTCTTCAAGTCTCACTCCAAGTTCGTTCCTGTTAAGGAAAAACAAATCCACGGGGTGAGCAATTGCTCGTGAGACCAAGAACACACATGTAAGTACGTTGTCCAAGTAACAATCCCAATTAACAAGTAAAATAATAATATTTGAGTAATTAACAATTCCAGTGAAATTTAAACAGAAACAATTCAAGGATATGGTAACTCTCAGGAGCTAATTTCCACTTGCCTTGCCAATCTCAATTGTATACCTTCCCGTGATGACTCTCCATCAACCAGGTTGATATTTCCAATCCGTAGAACTCCACTTACTTCTCATGTCCGTCCACCGTACACCGCACCGGGCCCGCATGACATTTATAAGGCGATACTCCATGAGTATGCCAAGCGAGATCTCTCCAATAGATCAAGTTTATCATGTTATTCTCAAGACTCATCGAGATTCCCAACCAAGCCCATGCCGATTCGAGTTCCAAGGTCGGCCTATGAGTTTGGACGTCCCCCATGTAGCATTTGAGAGTCGAGGAGATTCATTCCAACGATGTATGCAGCTATAGCATCCCATTTCATTTCATGCAATCATTCAATCATTCGTTTCATTTCAATCAAATCATTCATGATTCATTCATTTCATTTCAATCAATTCAATCATGAGTCATTCATTTCAAATGAGAACGAGTGTGGTAAAGTACACACTCGATTCTATTTTCAAAATATTCAATCATTAATACAATTAAATAGGTATCAAGTTCGCATACACTTGACAGTCACTAATCAAAACAAAGAAGTAATGCCCACTTAAGGGTTCAGACGTCCACCGTGAGATTCTCTCGAAGGTTCTCTTGAGTGCCTGAGCAATTAATAATGAACTATCACTTAGAAACCCCAATTATCACGGAAGATTGCACACTTGTATAATCTAGAAAAATATCATGAAAATGAGTCTTAATTGCTTGTAAATCGAGGCTCAAAAATAGGGTTCAAAAACACAAGAAAATTTTGATTTTCGACTTTAAAATCATTGGACGGAAACAAATAGGTATGAAATCATACAAATCATTTTTCAAACGAGCGATCGAAGATGGACTTCAAAGAGCCACGTCACAATCCGGCCAAGAATTGGCCGGATATCCGACCGGATTCAAGGCAGAGAGGGATCCAAAATTTTTTTCAACTTTCACTACCAATCCGGCCAACTATCCGGCCAAGAACTGGCCGGATATACGGCCGGATTCTTTGAAAACTTTCCCGCGTGAAAATTTTCTAAATTGGCCATGAAATATCGAATTTGAGGGTATTTTTTGAAAAATCATAACTCACTCTCTGAAAAAGTCCAAAATTGGAAAACTTAGTACCTTTGGAAACTACTTCTAGAGTACTAAAAGTTCCTAGAAAGCACTTTTCCATGATTCCAAATGGAAAATATTCAAATTTTGGCTTCAAGTTGCCGTTTTGGAATACCAAGACAGTTTCGAAGTTGGTTTTTGGCCAAATTTGGAATTTCGGCAAAATTCACAGAATGTGAACTAGCCTCTGAAATTTGAAATTTAATTAGAGTTGTAATCAAAGTTTAAAACACAATAAGTGGAACAAGAATCGGAGTTTTGAGAACCAAGATATAGCAGCTCAAAGTTGCTGAAATTTCCTCACTGAACAAGGGTTTTCTAGATTTAAAACATGAATTTTAAGACTTAGGTTGAGCATCGAAATGGACTTGGAATGGCACCAAATTTGGTAGTATTACCCTGCCATATAAGGGTTATTCCTCTGTTAAATTTCATGTAAAAAAATTCGTACGGAAGGTCAGTTAACAAAGACATTAAAGTTCCAAGAATTTCTAAGGTAAATCTGCCTTGTACTTCCGTGTTTTCCTTTTTTTAACTTTTTGCCAATGAAATCGACTCAAATCCGGTTCATTTATGAAGACCAGGTCTAAGAACATCCAAAATACATTTGGTAGGTGGTTAACGCCAAAAATTTCAAAATAACAAGTCCCAATTCAAATTAAGGCATTCAACTAGCCAAAATGAGGGTTTTCCATCACTGAGACAGTTTCGTAATTCGGCCACAACTCACTCAATTCAACTTGGAATTGAGCATGGTTGGTGGCATTGGAAACTATACTCATACGGCTACAATTTCACAGAATGAATCATTTTAAAATTCTGTCCATAACTAACTCATATTCAAGCAACAAATCGCAGTACTTAACAGGCTCTCTAACACAGCCGAGAAACAGGACAAGTGAATTTGAAAGGCTAGTACAGTTGACTCAAGTGGAATCAGGGGATGCATTTTATACCGTTAGAAAACTGGAAGTGTCTAGTTTCTAATGCCATAAATGGCACTTGATTTCAATGTTAGGGCAAAGAGTTATAGTCATTTGAAATTCGCTGCCAGAGCAACTCTGGACACTCTTTCCAGCCATGAAACCATTTCGAAAATTCAACTTTTGGCCAACCAAATCAAGTGATTTTTGGTGGAAACTTTCCACACAACCTATACAACATATCTACATCAAAATCAAGTAAATTTAACCACAAAAAATTGCACCAAAAGGCACGGCAAGGACAGGGCAGATTCGGCCCTTCAACATGCATCACTTCCTTTGATTTTCTTTTCACTCTTTTAACTTAAATCCACTAGACTAACACTTAATCAACACAAATAACATCCAAATTCATCAAATCAGATCATCAAGTCTATTGTGAGATTTCATAGAGTCTACTCATATGATTTTCAACAATCCAAAGCTACCCACATGAAGCTACAAGTTTCTAAGTGCAATCTAACTTACAAAAGCTAAGATTCAAGGGTTGGATGATTAGCTACCTTCTTAGATGATGAAGACCAGAATTTTCGGCCACAAGAAGCTCAAGAAAACCGTGAGAATGAAGCTCCTTTCCTAGCCCAAGATGATCTCCAAGTTATTTGCAAGGTGTGGTAGGAATTTGAAGTGAAATGAGCAAGATATGAAGATGATGAAGAGCTTTGGTCTTCTTCCTCCTTGGTGTTTCGGCTGCTATGAGAGAGAAAGGAGAGAGTGTTTTGCTGATGGTGAAGCTTCCTTGAGAAGCTTTAAGAGTTTGCGGCCAAATTACTCCAAAAGTCAACTAAGAATAGTGCACGTACGTGCACGTTTCGTGCTCGTTTCCTCTCAGGTTTGTTTTACTTGTGCACTAAACCTCTAATGTACTTCCATCCATACTATTATTATTCACTCTTAATAGTCTAAAAATAAAGGTTTTAAGTCTCTCAATTAATCGCCCGTGCAAAAAAGCGAACTTCCAATTTGTGCGCGATAAAGTGAAATTTCTAAGAAATTCTCACAACAATAGTATTACTAAATAATACTTGAGTACTTAAACATAAAAATAACTATTTTAAAACTAATGTATGAGTCTTTAATCTCCAAGCTCACTGTACTCTCAAATCGATTATTACTTCCATACGCGCATTCACTATTTTCACTAACGAGCTTCCTCAAAATTAAATTTTGTAACAAGTCATTTTAAAAATACATGTAAGCCATAGATCCATGTAATTGGGTCTAAGAAGGTTGGAATAAAATATTCGGAGCAAACGACCAATTAAATATTTAAATAAGCTAGTAATAGGAGTTTAAAATAGGTAAATTTGCGAGTCCTCTCAAATTGAGGACAATTGAATACTTGCTAATCAATTTGGACAAAATATCATGATATGATCTGCATGTATTGTTATTAATAATGATTATTAAATCAATTATTGATTAAATTACACAAACGTGTATATGATGCAACAAAACAAAATTTTGCAAATAAATAACAATCGAAATAATCATATTTCACATTAATATTTTTTTCCAATTGGTTATAATGGGATTGTTTGAAATATTTCTGCAATTGGCTATCATGGGATTTCTTTTCCATGACTTTGTTTCTTTTCGATCTTCTTGTTTGATTTGTAATTAAGAAGAGAGTAATGGTGGCTAAAATTTTCTTAGTTTTCCTTTTTGTTGGTTCTAAAAGGAGAAAGTGAATTTTAAAGAAAAGATTTTTAAGGTTTTTGTTGATTCAGTGTTTTTTTACAAATGGACATGGTCAAGTGATGATATTCTATTCAAATTACTTGACAATTCATCAATTGTTGTCAATTATTCAAATTTATGAAACTATGAGGATGAAATATGTTTGCATGAAACTTTAGGAATGAAATTAATCAAAATTATAAAACTATGAGGATGAAATGTATTTTAAATGAAATTTTAGGGATAAAATTATCTAACATCCCAAACATTAGGGATTAAAAGTGCATGTTTTCCTTTTAATTTCCCGTGTTTCTCGAGAACATTCCACTTTGCATGTTGGGATTAATTACATTTACCTCCCTTGAGTTGTGACTAAATTACAGATCTAACTCTAAAATTTGACCAAATTACAATCACACTTAACCAATGCCCCATCACAGTTAAGGGACATTCAAAAACAAACCTAATCAAATTAAACACCCAAATGTTCAATGTGACGTGTCATACA